AGGTTCAAACAGGAAGTTAAGGTTCAGACAGGAAGTGGAGGTTCAAAAAGGAAGTTAAGGTTCAAACAGGAAGCATAGGTTCAAATAGGAAGTTATGGTATAGACAGGAAGTGGAGGTTCAAACAAGAAGTTAAAGTTCAGACAGGAAGTGGAGGTTCAAACAGGAAGTTTAGACAGGAAGTGAAGGTTCAAATAGGAAGTTATGGTTTAGACAGGGGCAGCACTGTGGCGCAACTGGTAGAGCTGCTGCCTCTCAGCGAGCAGGTCCTTGGTTCAAATCCCGGTCCAGGGGTCTTTCTGGGTGGAGTTTGCATGTTCTCTCCGTGCATGCGTGGGTTTTCTCCGGGTACTCCAGTTTCCTCCTACAGACCAAAAACATGCATGTTAGGCTGATTGGTAACTCTAAATTGTCCCTAGGTGTGAGTGAGAGAGTGAATGGTTGTTTGTCTCGTTTGTCTCTATGTGTCCCTGTGATGGACTGGAGACCTGTCCAGGGTGTACCCCGCCCCTCGCACAGTGATTGCTGGACATGGGCACCAGCGACCCCCGTGACCCAAAATGGAAGAAGCAGGTAAAGATAATGGATGGATGGATGGTTTAGACAGGAAGTGGAGGTTCAAACAGGAAGTTAAGGTTCAGACAGGAAGCAGTTCTTCAGACAGGAACTTGGAAAGACGATGATGAAGTGGAACCGACAGTTTGGACTTGGTCCAGTCTTTGACCCACAGGCTGCATGGAACCAGAACCATACAGAGTTAAAACCATGCAAACAATCAGTGAAGCTCTTGTTGTTTATTTTTCTGTTTACGTCATGAGCTTCAACAAAAACAAACAAAATCTCCATCAGAACCTCCTGACGGGTCAGAACCTTCTGAACCTGGTGAACGCTGTCAGAACCAGTCTGTTTGGGTCTAATCTTCTTCTTCTGTCAGGAACACGACTCGTACTTCTCAAAACGGTTCTCTGACCTGCTTGTGGGTCGGCGGTACTGCACCAAGGTCCAGTTTGTCCTGTACCACAAACCCATCGGACCAGCCAGCTGCGTTCAGTGTGAGACCATCCCTCAGTCCGGTAAGAACCCGCGGACCTTCATGTGGCCCGGTTTCTGTTTGTCAGTTCTGATGTTGTCCTCGTGTTCAGGTGAATCGGCCCAAACGGGCCTGATAACGGCCGTGGTGGTGGTGGTTCTGGCTCTACTCGCCGTCTGGTTGTGTTACATTTTAATCTGCAGGTACAAGAAAATCAAAGAGTTTCTGAGACCACCATGTTCCATTCCTCAGGTACCAGAACCAAACACACACATACCTCCAGTACCAGAACCAAACACACACCTGATGGTCTTGCTCTGATCCCTGCTTTCGTCTCCAGTTCTTCCAGGACCCGGTTCTGGATCGAGGTGTTCCCTTTGTGGCCCTCACCCCCACTGAGGAGAACTTCGATGTTGTTTCCAGCTTAACTCCAACCGGGTCCAGAGGAGACCAGAACCTCCTGCTGCTGGACACTGAACAACATCAGAAAGTGTCAACTCGGACCGGGTCCGATCGCGTCTTTAACTGAAACCGGGTCGCTCGGCCTCCAAACAAAAATACTTCCAGTCCTGAAACAAGTTCAGATCCAGAGGTCCAAACTGATGAAGACCGGACACTGTCAGAACCAAAGGTTTGATTCTGACCCCAAACGTCCCTGTACCAGACTGTTGTTCCAGAACCTTCATCAGAACCAGGACCGCTGCAGTAAAACTGTCATTTTTGACTTTTTGCACTTTAATTAAAATAAATATTTTTGTGCTTCGAGGCAGAACTGATGCAGAACTGAACCAGAACTGATCCAGAACTGATCCGGAACTGAACCAGAACTGAACCAGAACTGAACCGGAACTGATCCAGAACTGATCCAGAACTGAACCGGAACTGAACCAGAACTGATCCAGAACTGATCCAGAACTGAACCAGAACTGATCCAAAACTGATGCAGAACTGAACCAGAACTGAACCAGAACTGATCCGGAACTGAACCGGAACTGATCCGGAACTGAACTGGAACTGAATCAAAACTGAACCAGAACTGATCCAGAACTGAACCAGAACTGAACCAGAATTCTGTTCATCAAGCAGAAAAACATTAGACCCACTGAAGGGAAGTGGATCGGACTCAGTCCAGTAAAGGTTCTGCTGGGTCTCCTGACCCCCCATCAGGAAAAACTCTGGGTCTCCTGACCCCCCACAGGACAGACTCTGGGCCTCCTGACCCCCCACAGGACAGATTCTGGGCCTCCTGACTCCCCACAGGACAGATTCTGGGTTCCCTGACCCCCCACAGGACAGATTCTGGGTTCACTGACCCCTCACAGGACAGATTCTGGGTTCACTGACCCCTCACAGGACAGATTCTGGGTCCCCTGACCCCTCACAGGACAGATTCTGGGTTCCCTGACCCATCACAGGACAGATTCTGGGTCCCCTGACCCATCACAGGACAGATTCT